AAAATACTCGTTGGCATTATCAGATTTGAGAATTTTGATCTTGATTTCAAATTGAGTTAATACCATCTGATGGAAAGCTTGGGTCAATGAAGGAACCTCATCTCGAGAGTGCATAAGGTAAATCCACGAGAAACGGGTATAATCATCAGCAAATAACAAGAAGTATCTGTACCCTCCCCACCATGGCAAGAGTATGATATGGCCCCCAAACATCAGTATGCACAATTTCAAAGGGAATATTGCTTCTTTTATTGCTCAAAGAATAAGTTCACCTACAATGTTTTGCAAGTTCACAGCTTTCATCCCTCAAACTAGACACTTGGCTGACTCAAATAAACTTGAAAATAAACTCTTCAAAGACCCAAAAGACAAATGACCTAATTTGTTATGCCAAAGAATAATCTGACCCAAAGGTTGAGAAACAAACAATCTCCCAACTTCATTTTCCTTCCCCTGTGAATGCTTAAGCAGGTAGACTCCATTCGTCTCACGGCCAATCCCAATCACCTTCCTCATTTCCAAATCCTGAAAAACACAACGATCGGGAAAAAAAGCAACTGAACAGTTTTGATTCTTAGTAATACTACTAACTGAAAGCAAGTTAGCACTAAGCTTAGTGACATGCAAAACTGAGGACAAGGAGATGGCATCTGATAGTTTGATGTCTCCCTTTCCAGAAATAGGAACAAGAGAGCCATCAGCAATAGACACTTTGTCTCTGCCTGAGGATAAATAATAGGTGGTAAACAAGGTGGACAAACTAGTCATATGGTCAAAAGCACCTAAATCTATTACCCAGAAGGGTCTAGTGTTACCTGGGGCTGAAGTGTGATATGTTGTAACTCTTGTACCTAAGGAAGCAAAAGCTGAAGTAGGAATGGCAGGAGTGGCAGTTGAAGACTGTGATGATGACCCGGAAATACCAGATTCATTCTCTAATTGTGTCAAGGCAGCCTAGATAGCAGCTAAGGCATCTAGAGATGTGGTTCTTGTATTGGAAGATGATGCATTGTCAATGTTGACTGCCATATTAGCACTTCCTTTCTTATTTCTGAATCTAGCTGGAACAAGATGGGGATGCAACTTCCAACAACTATCCCTAGTATGCTTGGGCTTCTTACAATGATCACAAAACATCTCCTTCTTTATTTCCTTTTCCTAATCTTTCCCAAATTTCTGTTTTGTTGCTGCTACGGCTGATTCCATGGGCTGAACTTGTAACATCACTTTTCTTCTACTCTCTTTACTGTGCACTAGTGAATAAGCCTAAGACAAGGTCACACCTATCCCTAGTAATAAGTTGCTGCCTTATTATGTCAAATTCTGAATTCAGACCTGCTAGGAATTCAAAAACTCTGTTTGTTTCAACCAACTTGCTATATGTAGTTGCATCTCTCTGACTCTCCCACTCAATGGTTTCCAAATGGTCAATTTCATGCCACAGAGATTTCAAAGTAGCAAAGTAAATGGAGACTGGCTTCTCCCCCTGCTTGAGATTTTTCACTTCACACTTCAGTTCATAAGCCCTAGCAACATTAAGGGTTTGGGAGTGGGTCTCTTTCATATTATCCCAGATTTCCTTAGCTATTTTGGCCCATAAATAATTTCGACTAATGTGGGGCTGCAGCCATGTCATCACCAAATAGTTCTCTTGAACCCATTTGGCAAGTGATGTGTCTTCGTTGGCTGGTTACTTTATATCCCCCGTTACATAGCCTAATTTACCTCTACCCCCAATAGCCATCATGGCTGATTGTTCCCACTCCAAGTAATCTGTTCCATTGAACCTAACAGTTGTAATTTGAAAAGAACTTTCAGTCATACTTCCAGCCCCTAAAATACCTTCCCCTGGAGTCTTGAATTCACTTCCAACTTTTTCCATTTTAAAGAGGATGTTAACAGTCACTACTTTGATCAAAAAAAACCTCTTTTGTAAAAAATGGTCTCTGCTGAATCGGAAAAAAAAAGGAAACTCACAGCTGAGAATCACCACAAAGAAACACTCCTCAGTCAGGAAGAATTACCCAGAAATCGACTTCAGATTATTGGTAACTTCCAAGAAACACTCCTCAGTCAACAAGAACACCCAGAAATTAAAAATCAGATTACTGTAGCTGCCCAAGAACCAGTCACAGGTCAAAGAAAAAGTGGGAGCAATAGTTGACCGTGAGATTTCACAAAAAACTCAGAGAAATGAGCAGATATATCAGAAAACTAACAGAAATAATTGACTTAAATCAGAAATGTCAAAAAACTGTCAAAACTACGCCTTTTAAGGTCGATCTCTGTCAAGAAACCCTAAAGAAATGGCAAGGGAGACAGAATTCTGTTAACCACTGCTTCCAGAAGGTTAAAAAACTGTTCCCTATAAGGTCGATCTCAATAAAGATGAACCCCTGTTTGATATCACAAAAGAGCAGATATCACAAAAGTGCAGGTAAAAGGGTGAAAAGTTTGCAGGAAAATGATAACGGAGCCCCTGTTTGATACCAAAAACGTATGGAAAGGACAAAATAAACAGGAAGAACCAACAAAAAGAAAAGAAAGGCTGAAAACGAAGAGGGTAGGAGGAAGAATAGGTGGACTGAAAACTGAGAAGAAGAAGATGATTCATTTTTAGACTACCTGGCATATTCGAGGTTGTTTAGACTTCTAGTTGGTTATGCAGCTTTGCAGCAAGAGTTGGAGTTGGACTGTGTGTGAAACATACCTGACTGGACAGCTCTCCCTGTTCTGTTCAGTTCTGCCATGAAAATAAAACCCTAAGAAGACAGCACTCTTCTTCTAATAAAAAGAGTGACAATGTGTGATAGGTTCTATTGTAATAACAAAATCTAACCAATAAAAACTATTTGCAGCAAAAGAAAAGTAAAAAACAATATAAAAATATTRAAGGATCAATGTATTAAGGGATGCAATGATGTATATCATGTATTAATGTGTCTTGCATCTAGTCTAGCCATGCGCCTTGGAGTTAAGCACCCACCTAGTTGACTAGGTGTGCGCCTTATACAAACTTTGCATGGCATCTGGGCGAGGTGAAGTTTGAAAGCCACCTAGTCGCCTAGGCGTCGCCTTGACAACTATGCCGTCAGTCCGAAATGCACACATAATGCTTCTCTAAAATCAGCCCAAGATATTTGGGGTGTGATTGACAAAGCCATTGGAACCAGAGAATGGATTATTTCATTTAAATGGAATGAGGCAAACAAGACCCGTTGGTTACTTGGGATTTCAAGGAATTAGAAAAACCTTTCGGCCTTATAAATCCACAACACTGGTCTTCTCTGGTGAAGATTGGAAAGTCCAGTTTGAGTAGGAAAGGTCTTCCTTGATCATTGCCACCACCCCTACCGCTGTCACCTCCTGTTGTTCTTGTTTGCCTTCTTGGTTGCTGTTGGTGGCTCCTTTTCCAGCTGCACCATCACTGCTGTAATTGTTATTTTTTAACTCCTGTAAGTCACCAGATACCTTGTGCAATCCCACTTTCATCTTATCGATCCTGTCTTCCATTGTTTCTGACCGAGTGCTGGGCATTTCTCCAAGTTCTTTGCTAGCTCCGATGCCAATTATGTTAGTCTTTGTTAAAGCCACCACTTTGTGGGGATGAACCTCCTAATATTCAGAGAGAGAGAGAGAGAGATATTTGAGAAGGAATGATGGGAATTTGATTCTGTTCTTCTCTTTATTACATGGCCTTTTATAGACTTTAATCAAGATCAAGAATCAAGATTGGTAGTTACAATTTTCAGGTAATCTGTTTCAACTTATCATGTGGCTTTCTTTCTTCTTTCTTGAATACACATTTTGTATAGCTGGCTTGGTCACAGCTCCACCTGTGTTCCTAACAATGTTGCATGTTCTTAATTTGACTACTAAACTGATATCTATGAAAAAAATAAAAAAATTATTGAACTATAGTTATTTTTCTCATTGTTGTATACTTGAGAACCTGGATTTGAAGAAGAATGCAATACTGGTCTTGTATATTTTGGGACCAAAGCTTCATCCATATCATCTATTCTGTCCACCGGACTTGGTAGCATGATAAAAGTAATAAAGCAAGGCCAACTGATATATAGGCACTTCAGGATTTGTCATGTCTCTTTTCTTATTTAGAGAAGTTATTACCTCCTTTGGTTGAATCATCTTCTTTGGATACTAAATATAGAGTCTGAATTTTCTAAACATTTCCCTATCCTTGAGTACTAATACAGTTCTTTGATGTCCTATCTTAACTAGTTCTGTCTTCAAACATTGTTATTCTATTAGTTATTTCAATGATTGTACCTGCTGTACTTGCACATGTGCATAGAACATGCCCTTACACTATTATAAAAACAAATATATAAACAACTCAAAACAAAACTAGTCAAATAGATATATATGATGGAATTATTGTACATGAAATTGAATGCATGTAAACATACATTCTCAAGTTGAGGGGACATATATTTAAATGTTAAGCCTAGACATGAAATTGAAAGGACATGCATTCAAATTTTTAAGGCTATTAGGAAAACCGAATAATATATTCTGGACATTATACAAACACCATTAGATGTGTCCATTTGAGTAATACCCATTCAAATTGAAGGGACATGTGCAAAATGCACAATACAAGTTGCATATAGTGATGAAAAGTGTATATAGGCTATGTTTGAGGTTTTCATAGTACATAACTGAATTTAGAACTTGAGAAAGACAGAAACCTCTCAAGTGATTTATGCTACTGATGTTTCAGTCATTATTATTACATTTTCTAGATATTCAATTCAAAGTGAATATATTTACAAAAAAATTTCGAAGTGAATATGGGGATTTGTGGCCATTGGTTCCACAAACAACAGTTTGTTAATATCTTATGGCATACTTTCTAAAGACATTTATAATACTAGAAAACCAATCCAACTCGGGGAAAAAAGGCTGAATTTCAGACAAACACAGAAATAACTTAATTCCAAACAAAAGAAATCAATACAAAGTTGAAGTGTATTTACCTTTAGAAGTGAAACATTAAATTCAAGAGGGATATCATTCACAGAAGGAAGTTTGTAGCTTCCAGGTCCACACGTATAGAGATAACCTGGTTTAATCCACTTGTGATCTGCATCACCCCATTTTAGCTCTTCCAAAGCAACCCAGCCTAGACCTTGTATGAAGGCTCCTTCAATCTATGATAAAAAAAAGGAAAAAAAGTAGTCATATGACATTAGGGTGAAAATAGTTATTCATGTTATTTGAGCTATCAGTAGTAATACCAAGTGCATCAAAGCAAGAAAAATGGTTCCAGCTTACTTGAGCCTTGAAGTACTTTGATTCATCAATGCACTGATTTTATAGATCAAATAACTATTTCAAAGAAATAATTTGGTCTTCATGTGTAAATACCTACCAAGGATTATGAAAGCATTGACAAAGACAACATGATATACAGGAAGTTACAAGTATGGTTCCAAACAGTTTACTTACCACCCAATATCAAACATAAGTTCCTATTTACAATACAAGAGGCTGTACAAAGAGAATTGGTCTAGAAGACCCTTTCCATCAGACATTCCCTTCAAGCACCTGAGTGATGATCAAAAGTAGTTGCTTGAGAGACCCTTCATAGAGGAGGAAGTGAAGGCTGCAGTTAGTATGTTGGAAAATGAGAAAACTCCRGGTCCTGATGGGCTGACAAATCTCTTYTATACTAGTTGCTGGTAGTTTATTAAGCAAGATGTAATTAATGTTTTTCAGGCTTTTTGTGAGAACGCTTCTCTGCAAAGGAGCCTAAATGCCACCCTTGTTACTCTAATCCCAAAGGTAGAGGAGCTACAAATTTAAACCTATAAGCCCCTTGAATAGTTTCTACAAAATCCTAGCAAATGTGTTGGCGGAGAGAATGGAAGGAGTTATGAGTAGTGTGATCTCAAGTAATCAGAGTGCCTTTGTTCCTGGAAGGCAGATGCTTGATTCAGTCCTTATTGCCAGTGAACTTATTGACTCAAGAAGAAAAGACTCCCCTGGCCTGATTTGCAAATTAGATATTGAAAAAGCTTATGATCATGTGAACTGGAGGTGTCTGGACTTGGTGCTGGAAAAGATGAGCTTTGGTCAAAAGTGGAGAAATTGGACCAAAGTTTGCATTTCTTCTCCTAAGTTCTCTATTCTGGTAAATGGTCAGACTGCAGGCTTTTTTGAAAGCAGTAGAGGCCTGAGACAGGGTGACCCCTTTTCCCCTCTCCTCTTCACTTGTCTAATGGAAATCCTTACCCAATTTTCCAGAAGGTCTGCTGAGGCTGGGCTTTGGGAGGGCTTTGCAATTGCTCCGGGTGAATAAAAAGTTAATATTCTTCAGTTTGCAGATGACACACTTTGTTTTCTTGATGCTGCTCCTGAACAGTTAGAGGTGTTACTTGGAATTCTGTGTTGGTTTGAAGTGATTTCAGGTCTATAGGTCAACCTGAGTAAAAGCATGATTAGTCCAATGGGTCAAGTTGCTAACTTGGAGAACCCCGTCCTGTTAAGTATTTGGGTCTCCCTTTGGGGGTGTAATGTAATTCGGCTGCAGTATGGGACCCTGTGGTTGAGAGGTTAGAGAGGAAGCTTTCTCATGGAAAGCTAAATATCTTTCAGAGGGAGCAGAGTGACTCTCATTAAAAGTACTTTATCTAACCTGCCCATTTATTTTCTTTCCCTCTTCCCACTCCCAGCTAAGACTGCTAAATGGAGAGGTTGGGAAGATGAAAAAGAAAATCCACCTCATTAAGTGGGAACAAGTTTGTCTCCTATTGAAGAAAGGGGACTGGGAATCAGGAAATTAAAAGTGTTTAATACAGCCCTCCTTAGCAAGTGGATTTGGAGATTTGGTACTGAAAGGAATGCTTGGTGGAGAAGCCTTATAGCTGCTTTGGTGTGAACTGGGGGGATTGGTACTCTCATGATTCCTTCCCAAGTTGGGGTTGCTCTGTCTGGAAAGGAATTATGAAGTGCCTTCACTATCTCTATGAGGGGTGATCCTTAATATTTGGAGAGGGGGCAGTATTAAATTCTAGAAAGATCCCTGGATTTTGGCCTGCTCCTTGGCAGAGGTCTTCCCTCTTCTCTTTCAATGTGCATCTAATCAAGAGGTGTCTGTGGCTGGCTCTTATTCTTTATCTGAAAACTCTATACTTTAGGGTCCTCTTTTCAGAAGAGATCTGTTTGATTGGGAATTAGGTGAAGTAGTGGAGCTGCTGAATCTATTGCAGAGACGGGAAATTATCTGCAGCAAGGAGGATGAGTGGTTTGAAGTCGAATGCTGATGGTTGTTTCACGGTTAAAACTTTGGCCTCTAAGTTAAGCAGATATGGAGTTTCAGACTTTCCCTGGAAGCATATTTGGAATCCCATTCCCCCTTCAAAAGTGAACTTTCTAGTTTGGACAATGACTTTGGACAAATGCCCCACAAGGTCAAATCTGGTGAGAAGGGGTTTGCAGGTCCTGGATCAGTCTTGTGGCCTTTGTGGTCTAGTACCTGAAACCACTGACCACCTTAGTCTCCACTGTACTGTCACCTCTAAGGTTTGGGACCATTTTATCAAGGCTACTGGGCTGAGCTGGGTAATGCTGAATTCAGTCAAGGAGTTGCTGTGCAGCTGGAATGCTCAAGGTCTGAAGAAAAAATAAATGATTGTATGGAAGGTTGTTCCTGCTGCTGTTCTGTGGTCCATCTGGGATGAAAGAAACAATAGGATTTCCAGTAACAAAGTGAAGAGTTCAGAGGACCTTATTCACTTTGCTGTTTGCAAATTGGTCTCCTGGGTCTCTGTGAATGCTTAGTTTAAGAATATGAATGTATCAGAGTTGTTAAGAATACACTCCATTTGGAAGTTGTAATCTGTAATCTACTCAGCTTCTTCGGCCAAGTCTCATGTTGGCTTGGGAGCTGATGTAATATCTATGTGATGTTCTAATAAAGCTTTACCTTATCTTTCAAAAAAAAAAAAAAATTACAATACAATGACTCACTCCTCTCAGCGAACACAAATCTCTTTGCACTTCAGATTCCTTCAACAATCAAAAAGTGTTTTGATCATTTTACTCGAGATGAAAGAATATCAACTGTATGCATATGAGGGGTGTCTCTAATGTCTCACACGTGACATGGCCAAACAAAAGTGTATTACATACTAATGAGATACAATAGGTGAGAAAGGACCACCGTGCCCTTCTCTAGCTTAAGAAAGAATAGAACAACTATACAACGATATGGTACATAAGATACACAATAAAAGGGTACTCCCAAACAGGAAAAACATCAAATCAGCCTTCTCACAACAATGGGCATGCGTTCAACACAGCCAATTAAAAGAAATCTCTAGAAGAGTTTCAAAAGCTAACTAGAAACAATATACAGTAAAAAAATACCAACTTATCCAAAAGAGATATCAAAACCCTTCTTAAGCAGATCGAATCCAAACCAGGCAAAGAGAGATTGAAAGTACTCCTCTGGGCAACACCAAATCTAAAGTTTCATGCAGATCTGATGCTTCTTGAAAGAAATCTAGAGAAAAGATTGAAGCTGGTGGCACAGAACTCCAGGAACAGGGTTAAGGTATGATCGAAACAGCCTAAGGCAGAAGAATCAAATGCACAAAAGGATTCTCCAAACACTATTAGTAAGAATCCTAAATACCAGTAGGACCGAAGGTCAAGAATCTTCTTCAAGCAGATCAGAATAAGAAAAAGTATTTATATTGGTGAAAGAACCATTCTGTCCTCAATATACAAATAGTGTACAAAAGAATAAGAAAAAATCTAATGTACAAAAGCATAAAAAAAGGACAAAAAAAGTAACACTTTAGCTCTCTTTGTCTCTAGACAAAATTCATGGATACATTTTATATCAAACAACAATAACATTTTTTTTGGATAAATGAAAATGATTTTATCAATGAACAGATCAAGAAGTTAAATCATTACAAGCACGAGCTGCTACCTCTCCTATCAAACAACAAAAACTTTGAATGACTAATTTTAGTTGTGAAAACCACCAATCCAAGGAGGGTACCTGGCCGACACAGACTGACTGAACAGGCAACTAACCCAGAGATTCCCAATCTCATAGATGATTTGGCTTGATCAAGAGGATCCCTTGATGTGGTAGAAATAGGTGAGTATATAAAAGTGAATACTTACAACCTCTGTAGAATTTGAATTACAATTATACCATGGCAGATGTTTATACATGCACAYGAATGCTTTTATAGACAGGAAACACTCCTTACCCAAAAGTATGACTTCTGAGATCAGTCAAATTGACTGTACTTAGAAAGTAATTGAGTTCTCAGTGAAATCTACTTTGGGCACTGTAAGCAACGAGGTAAAGATTGAATGAAATAACTGGGGCTGAAGCCCTGGATACTAAGTAGAGCACTCAAAATTAGATTTTAGGCTGATCAAACCACTCAGTAGCTAGGGGTTCAAATTTGCTGCAAGTAAAACTGTCTTCACTGTGGCATTGGGTAAATCTTATCTCCTAGTTTCTGGAGTCAAGCTCTACAACTTTGGGGTGATTTTAACATCTCATTTGGCACTTATTTTGACAACTCTATTACAGTGACAACACTTCCAAAAGCCAGAGCTAGCTAACAGAATTGTATCATGGCAATTATCCTGACTTAAATTCAAAGAGAAACACAGAGTAGATAGTTGAAGATGATATGAAAGAGAATACCTGCCCAACATCAATAGCTGGATTAATAGAATATCCAAGATCCAAAATAACATCTGCTCTTCTAGTGTGGAAATCTCCAGTCAATGTGTCAATTTCAACCTCAGCAAATGCAGCTCCATAGGTGAAGTAGTTGAATGGACTTCCTTTGCCACTTTTCCAATCAAAGCCAATATCCGGTGTAATATAAAATCCATGAGCAGAAAGATCTATTCGCATCATGTGGCAAGCTTTTGCCAGCTGAGAAGAAGTGAAAACCCAATGTAATTGATCTCTTTCATACAGATATTAAACATGATAGTACTCGTTTAAACGAGCCATTCTATAAAAACCCTCATTCAAACAGCATGGAAATTTATGATGGCAATTCTTTTTCGTTTTCATTTCTCAGACATGTACAATTTGCAGTAAATTTTAAGAGTTAAGAAGTGTTATTCTTTTTCAGCATATTTTACAGTCTACAAAGGTAAGTCAATTACTGCCCAACTCTGAAAACCACATCAATTAATCTACCATTATGGATGGAAGTGGAAGAAAATCCCACACAGAAAAGGCCAAATTATCTTTGTAGAATCCATTACATTTTTTTATATAATATTCTTATAGCTGCACATTGAGTAGAGAAAGATATCAATCATGCCCAACTTACATATTTATTTTAAACCTGATTTCACAATGTAGATCGGCCAAATCTTCAGTCTTTAGAGCATTTATGAATCAACCAAGATATATGAAAAAAACAATAAAAAAAAAGATGTGAAAGACAAATATATCAGTCATCACAAATTGGAGAAAACCCTAATTTCACTTGGGAGAAAAAACATTTGCAGCTTATCAGTTCTTTCACCATTTATAGTACTTAATCAAATTGATTGGAATTCGCTCAAAACACTTCCCTGTCCTAAACACTCTAATACCAGACACTCAGAAACTAATTACAAACTGTTGATGTCTCAGTAGAGTCCAATTGCATATTCCGGTCCTCTTCCCTATTACTTAGAAAAAGTGAGCCACCAGTTCAGTTGGCTAAGCTATATCCATTATTACTTGGGCAATTAAATGTCCAACCTATTATTGCAGTAAGCCAGTTGCAAGAGTGACGCTCTACCAACTAAGCTATATCCCTATAGCCAAGTGGAGCATGCATGAAGGAATAAATGCATCATCTATTCTTTCTCCCAGTATAGCTGGGCATGCTTCTTTCTTGCAGCATTCAACTCTCCATATATATATATATATATATATATATATATATATATATATATTTGATCAGTGAAAATGGTTTTATTAAAAAAGAGATATCCAACTCTCCATATTGTAAAGTTGAAACTGTAAATAGAAGAATGAGGTGGATCTACCTAACTACTGCTTTTTGGCAAACCAAATCAGTTGGGATATATTGGTGGTGCAATTTGTTACTTCTCTTGAAATCTTGATTGATTACTTGACTAGGTGGTTGATATGTCATGAACAATATACAGACTTTGGCTTATTCTTGTTTGTGTGAAGAACTAATGTAATCATGACTATAGGTAACTAATCTAATGTAATCTAATGACACTAAGGACACAATAAGATTTTCTACTAGTGGATCTACCTATCTACTGCCTTTTGCCAACCCAAATCAGTTAGGATATATTGGAGTATGTGGAAAGTGGGGCTTTTTTATTGGAAACAATAACTTCATTAATACAAAATTAAGTACAACTTTCAACCCCTAAAACAGGTAGTCCCCAGTAATCTTTATAAAACTTCCCAGGACATAGTTTCCCTCACAGTCCCTTGTTTAGCTAACACATCAGCTAAGCCATTAGTTGATCTCCTTGTCCATTTGGAGCAAGCACCAATCTCCCTTGTTATATTGAGGATTTCCCTTGTGGGCTGTCTATAAATCCAGGCTCCCAACTTACCTCATTGCAGCCAATCAATTAACAATTTAGAGTCTCCCTCTATCTCAACTTGGTGTAACCCCAATTGTTTGGCATATCTTACACCTTGAAGCAAGGCAATCACCTCTGCTCTCAATGAGTCCCTCACTCCTATTGGCCCCGAAAACATAGCCACAATTTTACCATTTTCATCTCTGAATACTCGCCCTATACCTCAAGGGCCCGAGTTACCTCTAGAGCTCCCATCAAACTTCAGTTTCGTTCTTTATTGTGTTGGTGGGGATCACAACTCCTGCACAGTAGGTTTTATGGAGGTTATAGATACCACCACTCCCCAATTCCTGTAATTGTCCTTAGCTGAGAAGTCATTAAATAAATCCAAAGTTTTCAACCACTGAGTAGTCATAATGGTTATTCTTTCTACAGTTTCCTCCTTGGATTTCTTCACTCCTTCGAAGATCCTATTGTTTCTTTTCTTCCTAGACCAACCATAGAAAAGCTACTCTTGTGGTCCTCCACACCTCTTTGGTTGCTTGAAAAACCTTGGCTCAAAGAGGTTTACCACGTCCGAGGGAGGTGCCCACCTGCAACCAAAGATGGAAGAGAACCTGGTTCAAAGAAACCACACAAATGGACAAGAAATTAATAGGTGTGTGATTGTCTCACTAGAACCCAAGCCGAGGCTACAAACATGAGGTGACAAGCAAAAATTTGGTTTTTTCTTTGCAACATATCTAGAGTATTGATTTTTTTGGAGAACCACCTCCCAACAAAATGTCACGAATTTTTGGAGGTACAAGCCGACACCAGACCTCCCTTAAAGGAAAATTTCTTGTAGGATTTGTTGACTGAATACATCAAAGAAGAGGAGCAAGTGAACACACCAGATGGGGAAGGTTTCCAAATTCTATTGTCCAAAAAAGACTGATCTAGATAGGTTGATCCTAGAAGATTAACTAATTCATCCACCATTGTCACTTCCAACTCCCTTAGACCTCTCCTCAAACCCAAGTCCCAAGAATTATCAAAAAAAACAAAAGAGATCACTCTCCTTATGTTTTCTGACAATGAAAAAAATAGTAGGGAACCTATCACAAAGGGGACTCTGTCCAACCCAAACATCTTAAAACAACACTTTGTAACACAGGCATCAAATTTAACATTTCCAATCAAAAACTAAGTGGGGGCCGGAAAACATTGCAATCATGTCCTAATTATTCAATTTGATGCAACCTTAAATGTGAGAGATGACCATAGTAAGAAGTCGTTGGACCTCTCTGTTCTGATTCCAAGTTGGTTGAATGAGAAATAAATGAAGAAAAGGAAAAAGAAAGAGGGAAGAGAAGAAAGAGGAAGAATAAGAAGAGAAAGGGGAGAAGAGAAGATTCTTTGAAACAATGGGTTCTTTTACTATTCACACCCTAACAGTCTCTTTTATATATTTGATAAGAAATTACAAAACATGCAAGGTTCAAAATTTTGATACGATATACCCCGTATCAGGTGTATCGTATCGTATCGGAACGATACACCTACTAAGTTGTTTTGAGGAAACTATTCATTTTGTTTGTAAATAATATAAAAATATTAATAAAAAATAAATTTTGAATAGTGTAAAGCACCAATACACTTCTGTCAAATGCATAAAGGTGTATTGATACTTTGAACCTTTGGGAACACCTAAGACAAGAAACTGGTTTATCAAAAAACCAATTCAGGTTCATGCTTGGAAGAAACACTTAGAAAGTTAAGAAAATTTTAGGAGACAAATAAGAGATTTACATTTAGTATAATATATATAGATAGATAGATAGATAGATAGATAAATAGATAGATATAGATAGATAGATAGATAGATAGATAGATAGATAGATAGATAGATAGATATAGATGATAGAGTCCCCAAAGAAGTCATTTGGTATGTTTTAGGAAAGAAGAGAATTTCAAGTAGGTATATTGGTATCCTCGTATGACAAGGTAGTAACTACTGTAAGAAATCAGAAGAGAAACGAAATAATTTCTAATCATAGTGGGCTTACTACAGGGGCCAGCACTAAGTCCATATCTTTTGCATTAGCTAGAGATGAACAACCAGACTTTTTTTTTTTTTTTTGATGAACGAATGGTACTTTATTAAATAGAGATAGAAATAGTACAAGCATGAAGCACCCTAAGAGGAGGCATGAGGTGTTACCTCCACTTAAAGGTGGTTCCAAACCCAACTCTTTTCAGATTGCAGTTACAAATTAGTCAAAAATAGAGAATCCCTTGAAGCCCCTTGTTTAGCTAAAGAATCAGCCAAAGCATTTGCCGATCTACTAACCCATTGAAAGCTAACTGACATGGTGCTCGTAAGCCATTTGGTTTTTTTGATGATGTCCCTATATCCCCAAACAACAGCTTTTGGGTCCGACATCCATCCCACTATCACCTTAGAGTCTCCTTCAACTATCAAATTAGTCACTCCAAGTTGGTTGGAAATCTGCAGTCCTTGTACCACAGCTAATATCTCAGCCCTTGTAGAGTCTCCATAACCCACTGGACCTGAGAATAAAGATAGAATGTTGCCATCCTTATTCTTCAAGATCCCTCCTATACCCGAAGGTCCTGGATTGCCTTGACTACTCCCATCACAGTTCAACTTCACAACTCCTTCTAAAGGGGGTAACCAAACTGCTTGTGTTCTATTTTTCTTAGATGATGTGGAGGCCATCGCTGCCCAACTCCTTCGAAGGTCATCACTAGAGTAATCCACAAAGAGATCAGTAGTTTTTAGCCAAAGGATTTCCCTTGTCAGTATACAATCCTTTATTTCAGCAATGCTTCTTTCCTTCTCTTGGAAAATTCTGGCATTTCTTTCCTCCCAAATGGTCCATATGATGGCTGCCCTAATACATTTCCACATTTCTTTCCCTCTCTTTGTTGGCCAACCAAAAAAAGATGGATCAAAAAGAAGATTTACCTCAGGAGGCAGGTTCCACCTGTACCCAAACAGCATAAAAACCCAATTCAAATATTTATTGTAAAAGAGCAAGAAATCAGTAGGTGATAACAGTCCTCATACTGCACTTTACATAAAATGCACCAATTGGGGGACAAGCATGAAAAAAGGTCTCTTTTTTTGTACATTGTCCACAGTATTAATTTTACCATGATACACTTCCCAACAAAAACCAGCAATTTTAGGTGGAATTGGCCTTGACCAAACATCTTTAACTGGGAACAACAAAGGGAAAGGAGTAGAGCAAAGGGACTTAAAGAAGGAAGAACAAGAGAAGGAGACACTTAAGGTCAAAGACCAAATTCTTCTATCTGGTTTAGGAGGGTCCAAACAAACAGAATCAAGTAAAA